AAATCTGAATCATTGAGCATTGCTGTAAACTCTCCAGGTGGGTGTGGCACTGGGTGGTACAAAGGTGGCTGGTATGGATGGGGGTAGTAGAACTGCGAAGATGATGTATACGGATACGGTGGAAGATGCTGATATGGAGGACATGGGTACGATGTCGGAGTGTGCTGGGAAGGTGAGTGTTGTTGGGAAGGAGATCGCGGACGACGATGCTGATATGGTGGATATGGGCAAGATGTCGGAATTTGTTCGGAAGGTGACTGTTGTTGGGCTGCTGGGAGTTAGACTGTTGTTGGGAGGAAGATTGTTGATGCGGATGTGCGTTCCTTGAAGTGATCATCAGTTTCAACTCATCCAACTCCTTTTGTTGTCGCTCATACTTTTCCTCAAGTTCTGAATATTGAGATTGCAAATTAGCATATGCTCGCCCAGTACGTGATCGAAGTGATGAAGATGTTGGCTGAGTTTGTGCCACCCAAGGAATCATGTCTAGCGTCACCCCTCTTCCATAACCACGAACTCTACCACGGGTCTCTAAACCCCTTGCTGCTACATAAGCTTGTTGCCTTAGTTCTGATGTTTCCTCGCCATGGGTTTCAACCAAACTCGTTAATTCCCGTGATATCTTAACCTGAAAAAAGAATTCACTTCAACAACCAAAATGGACACAATATGAAGTAAAACAATTTTTTACATGTATTACTTGTCTAAATACAAATTATTAAATTTCAAACTCACCGTCAATTCCTCCGATGCATCATCTATCCAACTTTTATTTTCATCTCGCCGTTTGTGCACTATATAAAACATCTCAATAGGATCGGGTTTGCGACCATGTTTTTTCTCCTATTTGTAAAACGTAGAAAAACAATCATAAATTTTATTTAATTAAAGAAGCAACATCTCAAAGAAGCAGACTTCAACAGTAAATGTAATGTTATAGACATCAAATGGTCTACATAGAATAAAGGTCAATTCAAACAAATCCAGGACAACTAAGACGATTGAGAGCATAGGCATTAATGTAACTTTAAGAGAAAATCCTAATACATCACAACTCTGATATTTGAATAGAAGCAGGTTCTCTCAATTTTTAGAGACCAAAGTACTCAATAAACAGTCCTTATTTAGCAATCAAACAAAAATATTCATCACCCCTCAACCGCTAGCAATCCAAGCGTGTGTCTTCAATGATCCGGGTCAGTACAGTTGTACCCGAGCTAGTACTTGCCAGGCAATAATACACTCGCGGCATTAAGCCTCTCTGTTATGGACCTCATGGAGTACGAAATCAATGTATTAGACACCAGTAGCAATGTATTAGATTTTTGTTCTTAGTTTCTATACATGGCAGTGTAGGATGGGATGAAGTAGGGACCAATATAATTGTGTTCTATTAGATTATGGTCCATGGTGTTGGAATACCAAATTATATATTAAATGTCAGAAGCAAGGAATTGTGTTCTATTAGATTATGGTCCATCGTGATGGAGCCTTCTTCTTTTTGCTCTGAACTAGCAGTGCTTGAGGTTTTATTCTTACCATGAGTTACTTCTTACAGTGTTCCTTAACACTATAAAGTGCATAAAACAATCAAAGTTAATGACCAGCCCACATATGTAAAAGAGATATTTAACAACTAGGTATCAAATCACATGACTAAGGTGAATAAAAGGAAACCTGACAAGGTGATATATCTTCAAGAAAACAAAACGGCATTACTGACACATAAGTAAGAAGTAAACACATTACGATGGGTAAGACAATGTCAAAGTGAATCTGATGGGCATAAGTAGAACTAAAGAAGTACATCTGTACTTTCAATACAATAGTTTTCAGCTAAATTACCAGATTGGAATGTTTAGTTAGCGAAGTGCAGATGATGTGTATAAGGTAGTTGGGATTCATTTAAACTAAAACAGGAATAAAATTGCCGCTTTTTTTGTTGATTAGGATTCTTGGTTGGTAGGGGAAATTTTGGGTTCAATTTTGGTTTATAGGGTTAGTTATGAATTATGCCTAACCCTCTGACACATCATCAAAACTCCGTCACATCAATGTTTTCATTCGTTTAAATCAGATCATGTGTTCATATGAAATTAGAGTTTACTGCCTTTTGACGGATTGAATTGGGCAAGATCAAAATGAGTTTGACAGGCATAAGCATAACTAAAGAAGTACATCTGTACCATAGAAGTCGGGCTCATGAGACGCTATAGCGAACCACGACTCAGGTTCCATTGTCCCAGATTCACGGTGGAACAAGACCAAATTGACTAACTCCAGTGACCCGATTTAGAACTCAAACCAGTTAAAATTTTGACAAATTCTGAAGTTCAAATTGTTATTTACTTCAGAAGTTGTTTCATTGAGTTTTATTGTATTGAGTACCTGATGTCTCAATGCTCCCCAAACACAAAATAAAACATGACAAATTCTATGAAACGACATCACAGTCTAAAGAAAAAAAGGAGGTCTCGTGTTAACTTCGTAATCAGCCATGTGTCGTGCGAAGCTCTTTGTGCCACCAGTGTGATTCATTTTTTGCCTCTTGCGGCTTTCAATATTCTTCTTACATCTAACCTGAGGCGCAAACCATAATAAGAAATTTATGCCTAATTTGAAATCGTAAGTTTATATTATGGATGGTAGTACTTACTTTATTTTTTGGATCAGTGTCCCAATAGTTAACCATTGCCCGCCATTGATCGCGATCTACACGATCATCTCCACACAAGAATCGTTCTGGCAAACCAACATAGGGAGTGTAATACTTAGCTTTTAAACTTGCCTTATAGTTTCTGCACCTATCAGACAATCTTTGCAACATTACAAGTCGGATTTTAGGAATATTGGGAACATCTTCAGGCCGCCAATCTATGGTATCCTGCACTCATACAAGTGTTATACCATTTACAAGTGTTATAATATATGTTTCAATACATATTAAAGCTGAAAGTGTTCAAGAACATCATACATATATTGTTTTCCACACATGATCCATGGTAGTATCATCATGCAACCGCCAATCTATAGGCTTGAGGGGAAGAAACCTTGAATTTTTTGCTAGGCTACCTAAGTACCTAGATAGCTGGGCATCCTTGGGGTCAACGCACAATCCATCCTCTGTGAATGCAATAGACTCCTTGCCAGATTTTCCCCACTTTGGCTTGTCATAATCACGCCCTCTTTTCTTTTGTGTTTGACCTGTATACACTAAAGTTAATAACCATATAAAATAGATTGATCTTAAATATTAAAACCCAGATTTTGGTCGATATGTCGACAATTTAGCAAATTTCTCATTCAAGGCATCCGCAACGATTCTTGATCTTTCCAACACCTTGTATACATGAAATTGGGTATGAGTGTATATAATTGGACTTGAATTCGTAGTGTACGTTCATGTGCAAATAACCCTATATCAATTGAAAATCCCAACGAGATCTACCTTTTGAAAAACATTGTCATGATGTACAAGTAAAAGCTGACATCCGTTGTTCCTCCAGATCACGAAGCTAATGAGTAATATAGCACCCTTATCAACCTTGAAAGTTAAAGAATATGGATAAATAATGCATTAATGGATGAAAGAAACGTGTAATAAATATACTCTAATTGTAAACTGAAAAAAATAATCGCCTCATACAATTTTTCATCGGTGGATTTTGCGTAACCCCGCCATCCTTTTTCTATTAAAGTTAACCATAACAGACAAGTACGAACTTAAAATTCACTTAATGAACTAGACATACCAAAAAAAAGGGCTAAACATCTAAAAAAATATCTTACTCTAGAAATGGAGAGACTTCGCTGCAATTGAACAAAATATATTTGCGACATTGCTCCCATACACTTCTTTCAAGATCTACTTGTGTGGCTTTACCCACAAAACGACCTGAGTATGCAAAGATTGACAAGCCTTCGCGAGGGGTAGAAACATCGGCATTACGACCACGACGAGTACGACGAGTCTCAATGTCTGATAAGTACATGGAGCAAAATGCCAAAGCCTCGTCTGCAAGATATCCTATGCAAATGCTTCCTTTCGGATAATTTTTATTTCGAACATATTGTTTCAATGTTTGTAAATACCTTTCGAGAGGAAAAAAGCATAAACTGAGTTATAGAAGGCAAGTGAAATTTAGAAGCAAAAAAGTTCAATAATTTTTTTTTGTGTTTTACCTTTCAATGGGATACATCCATCGATATTGGACTGGTCCAGCAATAGCAGCCTCGTGGGCGAGATGAACTAGTAAGTGAACTGTTATATCAAAGAATGAAGGAGGGAGCATTTTCTCCAAATAACATACGGTCAATGCAATTCTATATTCCAAATGCTTGAATGGTGCTTCAGATTCTTTCTTACCACACAACCGTCTAAAGATTGCACTTAACTCAAGCAAAACAAGAGTAAGAGGTCTAGCCAAAACCCTTCGTATCGCAAGCGGGAGTAATTGGTGCATTATAACATGATGATCATGACTCTTCAAACCATGTATTTTTCGATCATTCACATCAACAGACCTCGCAACATTTGATGAGTATCCATCAGGAACTCGCACCTTCGATAACACACGACAAAATAGTGTCTTTTCTTCATTAGTCATAGAGAATATTGCAGGAGGTAAGTATATCCTAGCTCCCACACGAATTGGATGGAGACCTTTCCTTATATTGAGAAGTTCTAGGTCAGCACGAGCTTCAAGTCCATCCTTTGTCCTTTTAGAAGTGCCCAACAATGTATACAAACTTTTTTCTGATACGTTCTTCTTAATATGCATCACATCTAGATTATGACGTATCAAAAGATGCTCCCAATATGGTAAAGAAAAAAATATGCTTTTCTTTTTCCATGGATTATTAGTACCATTTCTTGGTTCTTTGGAGGTAGCAAAAGTATTTCTTTTCCTTTTCTTTTTTCGTGTAATATCATCAGTTTTAGACTCTGAAGGTGGTGATTTCCCAAAGATAAAGGTCAGATTAGACATTTGTGCTAAACATTAGGCCCCGGTCAACATCTTTGGTGCTTGACCCCTCTCGCATTTGCCATCAAATGAAGCTCCATCATTTCGAAATCTATGCGTTATGGGCAAAAATCTACGATTACCCAAATAACATTGTTTTTTACAATTAGGCAAGCGTTTGGATATTGTTTGATGATGACATTGAGGACATGCAAGCTTCCCCTTCGTGCTCCATCCCGAAAGATTCTCATATGCAGGAAAATCATTTATTGTCCACAACACAGCAGCTTTCATGTTGAATGACTGATTGGAAAACACATCGTAAGTGTTGGCACCAACCTCCCATGACTCCTTTAGCTCATCAATTAAAGGTTTCAAGTACACGTCAATATCATTTCCAGGTGCATTAGGGTCTGTAATAAGTAAAGAAAGAAACAAGAAGGGTTGCTTCATGCACATCCACGGAGGCAGATTGTAAACAGAAATTACAACGGGCCAAGTGCTATGATCACTACTCATATGTGCAAAAGGATTGAACCCGTCGCTTGCCAAACCCAATCTTACATTTTGAATTTCAAATGCAAAATTTGGGTACAACGAATATAAATGCTTCCAAGCTGGAGAATCTGACGGGTGTCTCATAAATCCATCTTTAGGGCATTCGGTAGCATGCCATCTTATATATTCTGTAGTATGTTTTGACATATACAACCTTTTCAACCTTGGTGTTAGTGGAAAATACCGGAGAATCTTAGCTGATACTTTCTTACTAGAATTATCCTCCGTTGAACTATCACCAACTCTTGTTACTTTTTTCACTTTGTATCTTGACACACCACATGTAGAGCACACAGTTAAGTTTGCTGTCTCTTTCCAAAACAACATGCAGTCGTTAGGGAAAGCATCAATCTTCTCATAAGTAAGGCCCAAATCATAAATAATCTTTTTAGCTTGTGAAATAGACCGTGGCAAACAATTTCCCTCAGGCAACATATCTTTAAAAAGCTCTAAAAACATATCAAAAGCCTTGTTAGTCACATTTCCCAAACACTTGATCTGGTACAATTTTACGACGGCATCCAATTTTTTATACTTCTTGCATCCTGGATACAACTCCTTATCAGCTTGTTCAAGTAACTTAAAAAATCGCTCTGCCTCGGGTGTTCGACCATCAAAAACAGGTTGCCTCGATGACCCTACGTTCTCACCAATATTTGGTTCCACAAATGTCTCATTAAGGAAATCATGCATTTCACCTACATCTCCTCCTTCAGCAACATCCATTTCTATGACATTTGTTGATTCAACGTAAGGCTCACCATGATGTGTCCATCGAGCATTCATGTATAAAGGGTTCATTCCATGCCAAAGAAGATGTCCCACCACAGTCATCTTATCTTCAAAATAACGATTACAACATTCTTTACAAGGACATATGATCTTATCTTTACGACTAGACTTGGCAAGGGCTTCATCTACAAATAAGTTCAACCCTGCAACATAATCTGGACTTCGGCGATCAAAATGTACCCAACTTTTATCCATTGTTTAACTATTTTGCAGAACAGAACACCAAATTGAACCTATTCACACATGAAAAACCTATTCAGTCAATGGTCAAAACTAAGTAAAAAAAATGGAAAGAGATAGAGACAAACATCAAACTCCTAATGTGAAATGGAGAATACAACAGAAGTGAAAACAGTCTTTCTGATGAATCAAGTTTGACATCAGTTTGTATTGTATAATTAGATGTGTGGTATCTAAAAAATATTAATTCTATTTTGGTTTGTAAACTCTTTGAACATGTTCAGATAATTAAACATTCTCCTACAACTATTATTTTGGATTATAACGACAATTATCTAGTACCTTTAACTTCTCATGGTTATTCAATAAACTGAAATTCATAACACAAAGAAGACAAGGGATCAGAGGTGACATAATGTAATAACGTCAGAGATTACAACTTATAAAAGAGTCCTGTAAACTAGTAGAACACGAGATTATAAACTTACTCCAATGTCTGATCGAATCTATACACCAAGAACAAAACTATACACCAAGAACAAATTTCCTCATTAAAATAATTAATTAACGACACAAAAGTAATCCAATAAAAAATAAATAAACTCAATAAAAGCCAATGGAATAATCATGATGCTAAAATAACGCTAAAAATTGGATTTACCTTGAGCACCCTTGCAATGGTGGCAACGAAATTATACTGCAAAAAAATTATACTAACATTAAAAAAATTATACTGAAAAAATATAAAAAGAAAGATAACCTAAAAACAATTACACTGAAAAAAAATAGTCTAATCTAAGATTTTTTTGTAATTTGTTAGATAAAAATAAAATTAAATCTTCTACAAATATAAAACTAAACATTCTATAAATTAAACACGGGGAAGCATCGGAACGAGGAGGAATCGAACTCCGATGACTCGTCGGGATCGGTGAAGGAGAACACCGCCGACGATCTGAAGAAGAAGGATGCTAGGGTTCCTTCGTCTAAATCTAGGGTTTGGGCGAGCGATCTGATGGGGTTTCCGGTTCATCGGAAATCTGTACTCGTCGCTTGGGCTCAGGCGGTGCAGAACAAGCCGATAGGGCTTGATGTCCGCTAGGGCTTGATGTGAAGAATGAGGGTGAGGTTGAAGGTGAGATTGAGAAAGAGGAGGGTGAATACAAAAATAAAAGGAAAAAAAATTACC